GAGTCCACTCTGCACTTGGTCCTGCGTCTGCGTGGTGGCAACTAGTTGAAGTTCACCTTTGCACTTTATTCTAACTGACGCTTTATTCCCCCCCTCACTTCCAGTTCCTTGTAACCTTGTCCCAATAAAGCTCAAGCATTCCACATCTGGTCTCCTTTGTTCTGTATACAGTATGGTTGCCCATTCTAGTCTGTGTAATTTGCTTTAACTAGGAGGATATTAACAGGTTTAAGTTGCCAATCCTCTCTTTGAAATAAGGTTACTTTATTATGTGGGGGTTAACAGTCTTAGAGGTCATCTGCTTTGGTGGTTTTTACAGGTGTGCATTCCAGCTCTTTGAACTGTAGTTGGACATGCTGCTATGTTGGACCATGTCCTGAGATAGGTGTCCACTGTATTACCAAGTGGGTTGTTTGCTTTAATATCACCAGTTATTTTTCTTGGTGGGGAGAAATTAAAATGGTATTTCTTTGGTGGGGGGCAGGCTATCTGTGAGTATATAGCAGGAGGGCAGCATGTGGTCATTCTTCTCCAGGTAGGTAAGTTATCCTGAGCACTGGAGCTGGAGTGACGGGACGAGTTTGCTGAAGCAGTACTGTCGGCGGTGTAGTCGCAGCCGCCTAGTTACGACCGAGGGGGGTGCTCTCGAAGGAGTAATGCGAGACGTCGGCTGTGGGACCTCCTTTCCTTGTAACCGCTAGTTTCTCTTCGGGGTGAGAGCCGCCGCGGCACAGGTGCGCGTTGAGTCCAGCCTGGCGCTTACTTAAGCCCCGGAAGCTCTCCGGTTTTCCGCCGGCGTGGAGATCCTGCCTGCAGCAGGGAGCAGTTCTGCTTACTGGGCGTTTGGCAGCGTTCTCCTGAAGAAAAAAGTACTCTCCCTCAACCTCGGCAAAACGAGAGCTGCTCATCGGTTTTTAGAAAGCGGGGTGGTTGTAGAGATGGGTAGCAGCTTCGACGTTCCGGCTCCCTTCATGACTGGAAGGCGATACAGGGGGCGATCAGGTCCGCCCAGTCCATCATTGGGGTACAGCTCCTCTCTATGGTGGACATGTTTACAACTCGCTGGCTCAGAAAGGCTGGAAGTAGCACTGATAATAATACACTTTATTTATAGAGCACCTTTCATACAAATGGCAGCTTAAAGTGCTTCACAAACCAAGCGTCAAAATAAAATCTTAAAATTCAGAGACTTTCAGTTGTAAGGGAACACACAGTAATACAGTAAAGCAACATACATGTCAATTTATGCTTGAAAAAGAAAGAAATACAAATTAGAAAAGTCGTAATAAAGGACAGCTGATTTCTCCCAATCATCCCAGTCAGGGGAGGAGCCCGTAGCTGAGCTCATCCTGGTTCCTCGCTTTTCTCCCCCCGGGAAGCGTTACAGGAGCATGAAGGCAGGAACGTCTGGACTCAGAGACAGTTTCACCCCGCCAGCTGTCAGATTACTGGACTCTACCCCTGCCACTGACTCACACTGATGTGGTTTTTCTCTTCTCGCACTGATTGCCTGACTTGGTGTTTTTTAAACTTGTATGTTATTTCACTTCTTGTTCTTGTTGCCGCCGCCGCTGTTCTGTGTTTACGTCTTGGTGTTTCCCGAGTGTCTTTGTAGCGGAGCACACCTGCAAATAAGCGTTTCCTTGCACTTGTACACAGGACAGATAAACTGAGCTGCACTGAGCAGAGCCCGAGGCGGATTCTCGGTAAAAGGCGAGCGGTATATCTGCGTATCTGTAGATCTGAGGAAACGGATAGTTAAAGGGACAGTCTTCTCGTGTTCAGCGTCTCCAGGTGGGGCTGCACACTGGTGGTGGTGGAGGGGATCCCCGTTACCTGTAAAGCGCTTTGAGTGGAGTGTCCAGAAAAGTGTAAGCCATTATTATTATATTGCCAGCCTTCGCGGCTTGCGCAACACGAGCGGTTTCGTCACAGGAGCTCAAGGCCCCGACCACTGCTCTGAAGTGTGTTAGTTTCGCCACTCGATGGCGCTGGTGAGACAAAAATAGACCTGAACTCCCGTTGACGCTGTAGTATTATAGTTTACACAACGTTTTTCATCTCAAAGAATCCCTGAGCAATTTGGTAAATCGGGGGACCTATTTCACTCCACACCAAACTGCCGTGAGGAGGAGAGAGGAGAGCCGGAGTGGAAATTCCCCAGGACACGAGGGAAAACACTCCTGCTCTCCGCCATTGGAGCTTCAATGCCCAGGTATTGGGACCTCGCCTTTAAAGGGTTCCTGCAGGAGATCACTGTCAGAGGCCCTGTAAGACACCAGAGCTCTCCCGCAGCGCCCCTCTCAGTGAACCGCAGGGTTTGCGGGGATAAGTGAGCGCGGGCCTGGGTTCAACACGCACCTGAGCCGAGGGCGGCGCTCACGCCTAAACGGTTATAACTCAAGGAGATCCCACAGCCGACACTTCGCCATTTCTCCCTTTCCCAGCGTGAAAGTGACCTTTGTGCCAGCAGCCATATCACTCTGCAACTTACAACCTGCAGCCCACTGAAGCCCAGCAGGGTGAGCCTGGTTAGTACCTGGATGGGAGACCTCCTGGGAAAAACTAAGGTTGCTGCTGGAAGAGGTGTTAGTGGTGCCAGCAGGGGGCGCTCACCCTGCGGTCTGTGTGGGTCCTAATTCCCCAGTATAGCGACGGGGACACTATACTGTAAAACAAGCGCCGTCTTTCGGATG